GATCTGCCTCGTTCAGGAAGAGCGCAATGATGGTGCCAACTTGGGCCAGTGAAGCAACGTCCTCCACAACTAGACTGAAGAACAAAACGACAGCAGCTTGTCTGTTCCCCTTCCCCCAATTCCCCAGCACTGTTCCCATCCCCCAAATTCCCCAATAAAAATCTTTTAAAAAAAAAGAAAGGATGACAGGCCAGGAAGGGAGCTGCGGATCTGCTGCCGGTGGATCTCACTCTGCCCTCGCCTCGCCTCACCTTCAGCCCAGTGTACAGGTCGCGGTGTAGCCGCTCCATAATGAGCAGCACGGCAATGCTGGAGCCACCGCCGTAGTTGTAGTCGATGACAGAACCATGGAGATCCACCAGTCGCTCATGCTTTGGCAGAGACCTAAGGGGAGGGAGAGAGGGCTGGGCTACAACACAGCATGCCACCCAAGGGAGGGAGCAACCTTGAGACAGTACTTAGTCAAAGTCCACTGGTAAAGGCCCTGGTATAGAAAGAGGGCAAAGAGAATGAACTCCTGAGCAAGGACAAAGAATTATGGCATCGAAAAATGGAGAGGCCTTAAGGACTAAGTAAGAAAGTCAAACATAAAGCTGAGCCTGAGAAATTAGGATGGTGGGGAAAAGGCAGTAATGGCCTTGAAGGGACCACAGTTTGGTGCCAGACACAGAAATCTGGTCTACAACATTTTGAGACTTAGGTGTGCAGAGACACGGCATAGTGTAGCTTTTGGTACAAAATTTACGCCAGGCTTCTGGCTTTCTACTCTGGATCTCTTCCCATAGACAAGATGAGACCCAACTCACCTCATGTAGTGAAACTCCAAAGCCAGGTCATTCCAGTGCTTCTCATCTGGAGGAACAACCGACTTGAGGGCACAAGGGAAGTGTCCCCCCCAGTTGTCACACAGGTACACCACACCATACTGGCCCCGGCCCAGTTCCTGTCCCAGTTTAGGTTTACCTGCAAGGTACAGAGACAGAGATAAGGCAGGAGGGATGGGAACTTGCTAAGATTCTTAGCCTTGGACCTGCCTAGACGTAGGAAGTCATAATTACAGAGGGGAAGAAATTAGGACATTATTCTAAACCAGCAGAAAGTAACCTAACTGGTTTGATTTGAATAAACTTTGGTTATGTTATTTCAACTATATAAATAGCAGCAACAAACACACTTCAGGAATTCAAAAACACATCAAGGGGTGCTTAGGCAGCTTCACAAGGAAGCAGCTTTTGAAACTGGGATTCTCTAAGGCTGAACATGAGCATGTCAAGTATCTAGAACCCTCCTCCAATTTACTTGCAAAAATACAAGGACTCACGATGCAGCAAGACATCCTGTAAAGAACGGCTCTCCAGAGAAAGGCGGGCCAGGCGGGGGGCATGGTCTTTCCTAACCTTCAGCCACAGATCTTCGGTTTTCTCCAACCGGCCTGAGTGGCCAGCTTCCAGCTGGGAGGACACAGAAAAATNCACTGTTCCCCAATGAAATTTAAAAACAAAAAAAAGAAAGAAAATGTGTGATTTAGTTCAGCCACCCTCATTAATTGTCTTAGCTAGATCTTCCAGACAACTTGCTGCAGTCTCTACATCAGCATTTGCTGCTTCCTCTTACAATTTTATGTTATGAAGATGGCTTCTTTCCTTAAACCTCATGAGCCAACCTCTGCTGGCTTCTAACTTTTCTTCTGCAACTTCCTCACCTTTCAGCCTTCATAGAATTGTAGAGAGTTAGGGCCTTGTTCTGGATTAGGCTTTGGCTTAAGGGAATGTTTAGACCAGTCTGATTTTCTATCCAGACCACTAAAACTTTCTCCATATCAGCAATGAGGCTGTTTCACTTTCTTATCATTCGTGGGTTCACTGGAGTAGCACTTTTAATTTCCTTCAAGAACTTTTCCTTTGCATTCACAACTTGGCTAACTGCTTGGCACAAGAGGCCTAGCTTTTGGCCCATCTTGGCTTTTGACATGCCTTCGTCACTAAATGTAGTCATTTCTAGCTTTTGATTTTAAATGAGAGACGTGTGACTCTTCCTTTCACTTGAACACTTTGAGGACATTATGAGGTTATTAACTGGCCTAATTTCAATACTTTTGTGTCTCAGGGAACAGGGAGGCCCTAGAGAGGGAAAAAGATGCAGGAACAGCTTAGTCAGTGGAGCCGTCGAAGCACACACATTGATTGATAAAGTCTGCCATGTTGTATGGGTGTGGTTTGTGGCAACCCCAAAACAATTACAACAGTAACATCAAAGACCACTGATCATAGATCACTGTAACAAATATGAAAATAATGACAAAGACTGAAATATTGTGAGAATTACCAAAATGTGACACAGAGACATGAAGTGAGCAAATGCTGTTAAAAAAAAAAAAAGGCAGGATAGACTTGCTCCAGGCAGGGTTGCCACAAACTTTCAATTTGTAAAACACAGTATCTGTGAAGTGCATTAAACAAAGTGCAATAAAACGAGGTATACCTATATTTAGGAATGACTGTTATCTGCAACTAACTTTCATATAGTTCAGTAAAGGTATGTGTGTGGAGAAAGAAAGAG